TTAATAATTAAATTAAATATTGTATTCAAATTATTTAACACGTTTTTACTATCTATGAAACCAAACAAATATAATTTCAATTCTTATGTTACATAAATATTATTCCAATTAAGTCAATATACCTTTCCATATAAGAGAAATGGTGCTCGATGAAATGACCAGATTCCATTAAAATTGTTATATTTGCGTTCCGATAACTAAATATTTAATAATAATTAAAACTATTAATATGAAATAATTAATAAATAATATTAATTTAGAATGTATAACTAAAATTAATTTATATTAATTAATAATTAATATTAGTAATGTTCGATATCTATTATAATTAATAATAATCTATACTATCTTATTAAGCAAATTCATTAAAAATCTTAAAGTCTTAAAATTCTAAATGACCAAGATACCTTTTTCACCCCCTCCTCTCCTCACATACACTCACCCCTCACATACATTTACCTCTCACATTCAATAGATTATTTTTAAAATTATAATTTTAAATTTACATTTTATATCTCTATAATTAATTAATTAATTACTTTACGTCCTTTACTTTTAAATGTTTCATTTTAAACCTTTATCAAATTAACATACATAATCGTATATCAAATAAAACATGTTTAAAAAATACATTTTTATTTTAACAAGTTACAGTATTATAATCGTCTCGTTAATATCGTCGAAATGAGTCCAATATTGAATAGTTTTTGACTTAATTATATTATTATATATTATATATACTGTGAAAAAATATTTTTAATGTTTACGATTTATACTTTTATAGTTATTTATTTATATATTTGTTATACATTTTGGGATTAGGATGTCCAAATTGCATTGTATAATATGTTCTTGGGTTTTTTTGAAATCTATATATACATGTATTAATTCAACCTTAATCTGAGCTTCTGGACAAGAAAGAGGGTAAGCAGTTGAAATTTCATTCTAAAACCCATCTTTTTTGGTCTTTTCATAGCTTATGATCTGTCAAATTTGTAGTTTATTGGATTTTAAACTGTCATACAATTTTTTTCATCGATAGTCTGTACTTAAACCATAACTCTTATTTATTCAAATTGTATTAATATGTAAAGATCAAGTGTAACCTATATCATCGTTAAATCTTGTCTTATAAAACCAGTGAAACTTCAAAATCGTTAAAATTCATGAATTCCGTCGCATTGCGCGGGTACACAACTAGTAATAATTAATAAGAGTTATAATTGGAAAAAATGATAATAAGCTACCAAAACGYTGTTCCAAGTAACGTTTCAATAAAGTAAACGTGTATCTAGAAAATAATTTAGCTTATGAGCTAGCTTATTTTTGTTAAATAATGCCCAAATATAAAAAAGATGATATTAATAGAAATAGCCTTTTTCAGACCTTGGTTTTATCATTAGCCATTTCTTTCCCAATATTTCAAAAATGTCGTTACGTGTGCATGTGGCAATCCCTCAACTTGCAGAGGGGTTGGTGTAAGAAAAKAAGCTTTTGAATCAGTTTCGCAAGTATAAGAACCGAATATGTAAATTAAATATTGGTTCAACACGTCAACCACTTCAGGAGGTGTTGAAACTAATTTATAGAATTGGTCCACAGATGTCAAAAAACTTTGTTTTACACATTGACTCCTCTACAAGTTGAGTTCTCACTTGCACAGATAATAGTAATATTATTAATATATTGAAAGAGAATTAATTCCCTATAAAAAAAACTAATACCAAACGCAATTCAAACATTTCATCARAGAGTTGCTTGACATCCACAAATTAAGCAACACTGACGTCTGAATAACCTGTTGATATATCGACAAATGAAGCAACRTTGGTGGTCTTGTACCAGAAGCCGCGATCCACTTCACACGAGACACCAGGTGCCCGAACATAAGAATCAGCGATAGGGGCGATATGGGCTAGGGGTTAATTTTAAAACTGATTTACCTCCTTTGACGGTTACCGACCTGCAACTTTTATMTTGTCTAAAGAATGTATCTAACCGTGCAAGGATTTATTTATTCAAAAGAATAGTACAAAACATACAAGTCCATCGAGTAATTCTCGACTTACAACGAGCAGGTTACGACAACCAAAAACTTGAAATACCAACCATATTAATACARCAACTTCAATTTATGCAATACAGACGTTCAAGAGTTAACACACAAAGTACATTATCCAAATATAAAAGAAACACAGAAGYTGCTGATCATCATATTTAGCATCTTAATTAGCATAAACTGCTCCTGAATTCTTCTTGATGCGGGAGTGGAGTTTGTCCTTCTTAGCACCCACAACCTTGTCTACTACTTGTCCATTCTTGAAGAAGAGGAATGTTGGCATTGCCTCCACAAAGTACTTCTGAGCAACGCTCTGTATATATATATATATATATGGACCAACAAGAATTATGGTTTACTTATTTCTAATATAACCAATGTAATAAATATATATATAAATAAATAAAAACCTCATTTACCTCCAGTTCATCCACATCCACCTTCAAGAAGACAACATTGTTAAACTTTCTAGCAAAGTCATCCAAGACTGGTGCAATTATGCGGCAAGGACCACACCATGAGGCAGTGAAATCCACCACCACCTGCCACAAATTGGTTCAAATGTTAAAAGATGTGAAACGTTTATGTCTTGACCAAACCAAACTATACGGAACAAACCCAATATATCTCATCCGGGAAAGGTAAGATATACGCAGACCTGATCTCCCCCCTAACGAGTAGAGCAGTTGTTTCCATATGAACTCACCCGACTTGTGAAAAGTGCGACGAAGAGAGAAAGAGGGATGAGATAAAAGTTTTGAAAAGCTGGTTAAGAGTAAACAATAACATACAAAGCAGCAACTGGAAACCCACAAATCAAAATGATGTCTATCCATCAGCCAAATCAAAATAGTATGGTATTATATGGACCTACAGAATGCAATTCTCCATCGAATTCACAAATCAAACCAATTGGGACCATAGTTATACCTCAAGAATTTTTCAAAATAGAGATGAGTTTGTGACTTGAAACAAACACCAAACCAAAATTTTGGAGGAAACTTGTAACTTAACATGGATAATGGATGACCACAACCAAAGAGATACATACAGGGCTTACAAAATTCTAGGGTTCTTGGATAGGGTGACAAGTGTTCGGTTAAGAGCATGATCTTCTATAGAACTTCAAAAYATGTTCTCACTACAAGGTCATTTTGCAAAACCAGCTTTCAAGTAAGGTCATCGAGTTTGTATGAAACCAAGGGCATCATAATCTCTGACTGTGAAACAAAGCTGCCTTTGATCAAATTTTCTTACTTGTTCACCAAGGAAAGGAAAATATATTTCAAAATTCAAARGAAGTCTCAAGTCAATACAACTCCTATTCAAGAAAAAGCAACAAATCAACAATAGAACATCTCCATATGCAAGTATATAACCCTAATTGACACTCCCAAAGTTTTWAAATCGATGGAAATTTGTTCGCAAAATCATTTGAAGCAATTACACGGAATACAACAAGGGTATGTCTTTCAATTAACACGATTACGGGCCTCCATACCAAAACATCAAGAGATTTTAGAAGAGGAAGAAAACCCCCTTTCATTGACACAGCATACGAATCAATAACCGATTTAGAGGGATCTAATAAATGCATCCTAAAAATAAAACTAAAACTAAAACCTGTAACCCCTATTCACTCGATCCACTTAATCAAACTCTAAAGGGTAAAAACCCCAATATCACCGACATCTAATTCGAATAMGAGCATGTAAATCCATATATAAAAAAATCAAGACAAATCTCTTAGGGAAATGAATACTAAAAGAAGATTGAGAATTACCAATTTCCCAGAAGAAGCATGCTTATTAAAGTGCGTGTTCCACTGGCCAGCGTTGTGGCAGCTAACGACAACTCCTTCCGACATTTTTGTCCTGAAACTTCTCTCACAAAACCTAATTTCGAATTCCTTGTAGCTTGCAATTGCGTTGATTTAGCTTCAATATGAAGATTGTAAAGCACCGAGTACCCCTATATATAGGGCGCGCATGCATATCATMTGTTTGTCATAATTACATAATTGCCCTCCCCCCTTGACGCAATTTTTAAAATATTCGATATTCATTTACGTAAACGATAAAATGCGGGATCATAAACATGATGTAGACCCGTGTTTACCTTTTAAATAGAGTATATTACAAATTTAGTCCCTGTACTTTTGGTGTATATAGGGATGGCAAAAAAAGGTGTTGGAATCGTTTTCGCCAACCTCGACGACGCTCTCAAATGCACAACAGGTAGAGCTCTTGTATCGAAAGTCTTCAACTAGTCAAAAGTTGACTTACTCCTGTGATAATGCTATTGGTCATGTCAGATGCTCCATTATCAGTCGCTCAATTAAAAAAGGTTCAACTATTTGTTGCCATATACCGAATTTGGCCGAGTAAGTGTCACTCATTATCAGTGATGGGTAGAACAAGCACTGGTGCCATAGTCTTCCCCTACGAACTTTGTGATCTTGATTTAATAGAAGCCAGATATGAAAGAGAGGTTAAACATGTAAAGCTATAAAATGCCCTTGGTCTAAAGCTTTTATTATACTATATACTAACAACAACAACAAAAAAAAGGTTGGACCCTGACAGATGCTCGTTCCTCCATTCCCCGAAAACGAACCTATATCTTTAAACACATTTACTTTTCATTGCCTAATATCAATTGTATCTGGGTCTTGAATGAGAGGAAAAGACTTAAATCGACAAAAAAAGACCCTTGCATGAAGGGTACATAGGAGCTTAACAAAGATACACTAAACGACCCGAATAGAAGAAGAGACTTAATTCACGATAAAATTGAAACCACAAGGACGACCCTTGTCATTATTATGTTAAAAAAACTTGATCTGTAATTTTACCAAACCATAAGGACAAAATTTGTAATTTACTCATAGTTATATATACATATACACGAATATTATATAATATGTTTCTTGGTTTTAAATACAAGGTCAAAATTTATTTGTATTATTCTGATTCGTTTCTCAAAGTAAGCCTTATCAAGAAACACGACACTTTTATCAAAGAAAAAGTGATATTTATTTATCATTTATTTTAATAATTAAAAATATATTAATTGGTGAGCCGTTAAAAATCATCTTTTAAAATTTATTATTAATTATTAAAAGTAGAAGATAAATATATATATATATATATATATATTTCAATTTTTATCCTATTTTAAGTATTATCATATTTATTAATTGTTTATAATAAAAATAAAAATTAGTTACACAAAATATATTATGAAACGACTGACTATCTTCAAAACGATTAAGTACTAACATTAAATATTAACGTTATATTTTATTTTAATTTTTTTCTTTGAAATGAAAATTTTTATGAAAGACAAATAAAATCGTCATTGGTATTGACTTTTGATGTAAATGAATTCATTTTTAGCATCTGGGGTTGATGCTGCCACCTTTACTTCTACACAACGTAAGGAATTTGTTTTCTTTTTATATTTTAATATATATATATATATATATAKAGAGAGAGAGAGAGAGAGAGAGAGAGAGAGGGTTTAATCAAAAGAGGACTTGATTGTTTGTGATAACTGTGAAATTCAATCTTAACTACACATTATTAATAATCAATGGTTATTATTAGTCTTTTTTAAATCTCTCTTCTYTCTCTCCCCCTCTCTCTCTGACCAAGAATTTCTAACAGTAAAACACAAAATAAATATAATACACGTTGTGATACCCAAGAATTTATAACAGTAAGACACAAAACCAATGGTATTACACATTATGATACCACTGTAATAACGTCTTAAACATGAGTTGATAATAGATGTGATAGTAGAATATTTAAGTCAATCATTTATAATAACATAATAATCATAATATATTTTTCTAATTCCATTTAAATTATCTAACATAATTTAACATTTATTGGCTATGTCTTATTCGTAGGTCATGATAACAATTACACGAATTATATAAATAAAAAGTATATGCAAACAGTAATTTTTATCCGAATATATAACTTAAATAATAAGACGATGTTCCGTATATTTCGGCGACACACGAAATATCCGTTTCTTTTTTCATAAAAACGACTCTATGTATGTGCTATACTGTAGTAAATTAAATATGTAAAAAAAAACAAGAGCAAGTGTGATTGGTTTATTTCATTTGTTGTTCGTAATATCTGTATTTTTCGTTTTAATACATGTGAGGAAATTAACATCATATGGCGAAATATAATATTAACATGACTTGTTTACGGATGTTGTAAATGGTTCAACAAACCCAAGAGAGTCGAATTTGACGTTCATAAGTTAAAGATTGTATATATATAGTTATATAAAGTAGAAAGAAAAATGTAAAAAATGAGATCGTTATATGATTGAGTGATAAGTTATAGAACTGTTGGGAACCTCGAGGATATCAAGGCATGTCGAAAAATATCAAAAATATATTTATTCTGATAAAAATAATAATTGTATACTGTCAAATGAAGTAGGAGAAAGTGATTATAATAATATTTATACGATTTTACAAAAAAAAACCCAACCAAGATGGTATATAGTTTACTCCATAAGATGGTGTAAAGGTGTTTGTTTTTAGTTAAAACATGTTTCAAATAAGATGACTTAATTAAATGTGAATATTAAAAGTATGGTCACTTATTTAATCCAATAACTTTCAACTGTTATATAAAAAGTAAATCCAAATTTAGACATTGCTTTATGGCTAAAAGAATAACTTATCTGACTTGGTCCTTAAATACGTTAAGTTGATTAAGCAAAAACAGACAGTAAGATTATRTTTTGGTACCCAAGTTTACCTTTGATGTAAATACCATTTATTTCTATTTCACTYTTTTATTCTTTTCCGTTTCAAGTAGGGGGTTCAAAGAAACGGTTAGAACCAAACCAAATTGGATTGTTTTYGATAGTTTGACAGTGTAGGTTGGTTTGAAAACTGTACGATTTTGTCASGCAGCCTGTTTGAACTTTTTCATTTGATTGTTTAACAGACCAAACCATTAATAAATATAGTATTGATAAAAGAAATATCAAGGATTATTCAAATATGCATCAAAATGTTGGCGTATGTCAACAAGGATAAACAAGATTAAGGATTCCATTGTAGAACATGATTTAAATTTGAGGTAAACTTTGATGGCCTAGATACATAACTCTTARTAACAGTGTTTCWAATGACGCACCCCTTGGTAGAAGTCGAAGATTGAAAGGTCTTGGAATTAGGTTATTTATCGTGTAATCTGCAATACCCTATTTTTAGGTTTGTTTTTTGTAATGTATGTAATAGAGAGAGACTAGTTGKGTCAAGATGGCATGGTAATAATCACATGGACTATAACTTCCATAATTAAGATAGGCGGCATCAGTTGAAATGTTGATTAAGTTACATTAAGGTAACATTTGGTATACATATATGATTGGATAGGATTGTACAAGACAAAATTGGTCAGAAATAGAAAGGATTGGACAAGAAAAAAGGGCRGGAATATAYAGGATTGGACAGAACAAGATTGGACAAGAAAAATGGGCAAGAATAGACAGGATTGAATAAAACAGGACCAAACAGGACAATTTTATGTCTAGTGTTTGGTACTGCTAGGGCTATATAGGACATGACTATACAAGTTTTCCTAAAATTTGTTTGATGATTTTGTATATTGTAGAACAGTAAAAATGACACAAATAAGATAAATATTTAAATAGTTTAAGTTATAAACAGTTTAACACCATTTTCATATATGTAAACACGTACATATAAATAGTACCAAATATGGATAAATTTTTTTATATAATTTGAAAAAACCTGGTCCATACAAAGAAAAAATTATGTTTTATTCGATTTGAAAGTGCCTTATGAATTTGCAGAGGCATGATGGAAGTTGTTGTAATGACAATGGTGGTAGGGTAGAATCGATGGTGATTGGGGGACGATAATGACTGTGGAGGATGTGAAGATGATGATAGTGGTGGTGGTGGTGGTAGAGGTTAAGGGGGTATTCATGGTTGATGCGGTTGAGGTAGAGGTAGTGGTGGGCGACATTAGTGGTTGYTGCTAATGGTGGTGGTGGATAATGGTAACTGTAGATGATGTAAATATGGTGGAAAAGAGGCGTGATGGAAGTTGTTGTACAACAATGCTGGTAGATGTAGAGACAGTGGTGGTTCGTGGACGACGGTGACTGTAAAGGATGTGAAGGTGGTAGACACTAGTGGCGGCAGGGCGACAATGGTGGAGGAGGTAGTTGTGGCCTTTATGGTGAAGACAAATGTGGTGGTGGGAGGTGGTAGTTGTAGCCAATGGTGGTGGTAAATATAGTAGAGATGGTCGACGGTGGTTATTAAGGTGGTAGAGGAGGTTATAGTAGTGGATGTGGCTCACGATGGTTGATGGTTATTAAGGTGGTGACCATTAAAATAAAACCATATTAGGATTATGTCAATTGAGAGGATTCATAATTATTTAGTTTTTGTCTCAACTTTGTCTTATCTTATTCCATCCATTTTGGTGGAACAAAAAATTATTTCGTGCTGAATGTGGGACAGTAGAAACTAAAAATAACTGAAACAATTGAAAACACTAAAAATGTCTAAAACAAAGAACAATGCCTAGTGATCAACCAGACTTTCCCTTATCCTTTATACTATTTATCGGTCCTTCTTCTCAGATACATAAAACTAGTCACCTAATAAGCTTTAAGTTCATGGTTTACATATGAATATTAATTATTTATAGATATCATTTTATATTAATTAAAATTTATTAATTAGTTGTAACTATACATTATTAATTAGTTTAATTATAC